TATATCATTTACAAGTGGCCAGTTCTAAAAACTTTTAGTGTCGCCCTCGTATTAGTAGAAGACTAAATATGAAAAGAATAGAACAAGTCAAAATCTACGATGAATAAAAATGATTTTATTTTTATTCATCATAGGTTATTACGTAATACTTATAGAAGACCGTTTTTTATTTAAGTTTAAAAGATTTGTCAATATTTCCCCTACTTCCACTGAAGCTATCGAGCTAAAATTTAGCACACAGGTTTGGTTCTTGAGACAATATACGATTAGGTACTTAAATGTCGCCGTTTTTTACTTATTGGCGGACGTTGCAAACGACGACGTTGGTCGGCTCGACCAGTGAAGAACCATGCTCTCACAGGATACCAGCGTAAAATAGCAGCTTAACGCTTCTGTGTTTCGTATGGTGAGTGTAGAGACACGGAGACCCTTTTTGCTGGAAAAGAGGCATTCCACCTTAGTCCTCATGGGTGACAACGCATCTTAATTTTGATTCATAATTGAGGATAGATGTCGATGTCTATGTGCCACAGCAACCACTTACCATCAGGTGGACTGTGTTCTCGTTTGTCGCCCTATCCTTTAAAAAGCTTGTTTTTAAAAATATTTTCCTACCATTAATTTAATTTTTTATTGTTTAGTTATCAATTATCATAGACATGTTTTAAGTCTGTTCATTTAATTTAATGCGCATTGTTAGTTTTTGATCGTATCTTAGATCCGTCATCTTAAATTTTTAATCGCTAATATTTGAACCTCGTCAGTTTTTAAAACATTTGTTCGAGCACCACCAAACTATCCCTAATCTTTGCCGAATTATAAGTTTTTAAAATTGGTATAGCGGCCATCTTGCTTTTCACCATTTTGATTTTTTTATTACCGATGAAATTTTCCCAAGCTGTAGTTCGATATTAGTTAAGACATGTACCCGCTTAGTCTTATTGTGTAGACGGGCAGTAATAGGTACACCATCTCGAAGGGCTGGACGCGGACGTTATTATACTCGTTTTACTTTCAGCAAACAAAACAAAGAGATCATCTTGTTATTATCATTAAACCATATATTCATTTTATATCCATATCATGGTGGTGAATAAAAAACATGGTCCGTCATCTTTGGGGTCAACCATATTGGATTTAGAGTGATTTCATTTTATTTTTCTTTTCAGCAAACCCTTTCATATAATACCCATATTATAGGAGTGTATAAAAAATAACTAGTCCGCTATCTTAGTCGGTCCGCTTATTGGGCTTATAATGACGTCACTTACCTAGACGTACTTTTATAATTCAGTTGCAAAAACTAACCTGAACAATTCTACCCAAAAATCGTAATCGGGGACTCCAAAAGCCCGGGATGACAAAACTACAGGCGGATTAGAGCAACTAAGTTCGTGATCGCCAACTTAGGTCCGCCATCTTGAGTTTTTTATTGCCAGCAGTTGACCTTTGCTGCCGTACAACATTTGTTCAAGCGTCAGCAAACTATCTCTAATTCTAAACCTTAAGTTATAACTCTTTACAATTGGTATGGCGGCCATTTTGTTTTTCACCTTTTTAGCCACGTTTATATTCCAGCTCTATCATTAGATCAACTATATGTCATTATAATATTTTGTCATATTAGACGTGCGCCATATTGGATTTATAATGACGTCACTTTAATTATTGTGTTTCACTCCTCAAGCCATTTCATTTGATATCCACATCCTAAGGTTGTCTGTGGTAAAGGATAAATCACTATTTTGCAACGTCCGCCAATAAGTAAAAAACGGCGACATTTAAGTACCTAATCGTATATTGTCTCAAGAACCAAACCTGTGTGCTAAATTTTAGCTCGATGGCTTCAGTGGAAGTAGGGGAAATATTGACAAATCTTTTAAACTTAAATAAAAAATGGTCTTCTATAAGTATTATGTAATAACCTATGATGAATAAAAATAAAATCATTTTTATTCATCATAGATTTTGACTTGTTCTATTCTTTTCATATTTAGTCTTCGCAAAGTTCATATGGCCGTCTCCTTTAATTCGTATATTTAACTATAGATAGCAATAATCGACTCGCAGTCGGACGAGCGGCGCTCGTTCAGGAATTATGAAATTACCGCAATTTTTCGTCGCACAATGTCTTTTTATTAGCGCAATGCGCCGCGACTAGCTCAATTTATTTCTATTCTCTAAAATCTGCGAAATAAATACGACTATAAACTTAGGGCATAGAGTGCATTTTAACACGGGGTTGCGGCAACGCGAAAACCACGTATGCGTAATTGCTTTTCATTACAGCTCCATTGTCGTGGAGAGCAGCGCGCGACGGAAATTGGCGACGATTACGCGGGTAAAAATTAAAAGAGCACCTCCCCCCACCCCTGTTTCAAGCGTCAAAAATTTCTTTAATAATTTTCTGTACTTTCTACAATTACGACCGATTTGTAAGTACGCAGCTCTAGTTCCAGAATCAGCAGACATACGTAAGACTTTGGCTGAAGCAGAAGCCTAAATGATTCCCTCAAGAAATTTGGTTCAAGATTTGTTAAAATTAACACATAATATAAATGATTTAAAAACTTTGAGTTTAAGATTTATATCATAAAAGGTAAATTAACCATCTCTACAAGTTGATCTGGATACGATAAAAATTCTGCGCCACGTTCATCGCACACTTGGTCATTCGTAACAGTTTGTTCAATTTCGGCGCTTGCTAGAAACCTTAGGCTTCGATCGAAATGTCCATTTATGTTTTATAATCATTATTCACGCACTCATTACTGTTTTACGTCAAAGCAATCCTAAAGATCGCTTCACCCTGGTATTCCGACAGGCTGCAGCACAGAATAAAACAAATAATTATTATTTATGTAATACCATAATCTAAAATAATACTGTGATCACTGCCGCGTTGGTCTAGTGGTTGTAGTAGTGCGACTGCTGTTCGCGAGGTCCCGGGTTCGAATAACGGGTCGGGCCAAGAAAAATCAGTTTATTAATTAGTTTTCCGTCAAGAAATTCTCAGTAGCTGCCTGGAGGTTGGCGGTGACTTATCCCCAGGCTTTGGAAAGTACGTAAAGCCGTTGGTCGTGTCGGTTTACCGTCTCATCGGACTATGAGAGTGAGGGAATAGAGAGTGCACTTGTGCTTGCGCATACACTTAAGCCCGGTTTACATTTTGAGAAGTGACAAGTGCGAGCGGCAATGACAAGTGACAAATGACAAGTGACAAGTAGCAAGTTGGTGTTCACATATGTGGCAATTGGATGTCATTATTATGTGAAATCTTCGAGTGTGAAATTGGGTTGGTAATTGTCAAAGAGGCGCTAGCACAACTTTAAAGTTTAAAACTGGTATCTCATCATACAATTTTACCTTTTTTTTGATTAAAAAGATGTGTGAAGTGCCTTATTGCAAAGATATTGGTGCACACCAATTTCCTAAAATAGCTTAAGTGAGAAAAATGTGTCTTAAAGCTATAACAAGGAAAAAATTTAAGCCTGAAAATAATGTGGCTCCAGCCCCGACCTACAGGAGTCTTTAATTTTCTTCTTTTCTTGGTAATATGTAAACTTAATGCTTCTTAACTTCGCCTATACCTACTTCTTTTGCGCCGAAACCGGCCATTCCCATTGATTGAGATATTGAGGGCATAGCAGCGTCTCGCATCATTTTATTTTTTTTTAATTCAGCGATTTAATATTGTATAAACATTCGTGTTTCAATAATTCCTTAACAAATTTAATGTTATTGCTATCTGACCACTTCGTAATAAAACAAAACTATTATAAATACGAGTATGTATATAATATATATATATATATAACAAAAATATTTTATTTAATAACTATTATAACCAACACGTGTATGTTCTGACGTCACCGCTAGAACGGAGGCGGCGGTAGGTGACTGAGGGGAAAGCAAGGTTAGTGCGGGGCAGAGATACTTGTCAGAGAATAGAGCAGGCCGCTATTCACTTGTTACTTTTCATTTCGCACTTATCACTTGTCACTCGCACTTGTCACTGCCTGTTCACACGCACTAAGCACTTGTCATTTGTCACTTGTCATTGTCACTCGCACTTGTCACTTCTCAAAATGTAAACCGGGCTTTAGGCACTATAATCCTGTCCTGCGCCGATGGCTAGCCTCCATTGAAGCAGGTCGCCGTGATCAAAATTCGGTCTGGAGGACATTATTATTTAAATCTATTCAAACTTTTAGCTACGTTATGGCGGCGTAAGGGAATGCACTGCACCATATCATCTCGTGGTTACCGTAAGCGGTGACAAGAGAAGTAAACGACAGGTGGGCAGCAGCGTCTGCATGGTAACAACTCAAACAAATAACGCGGTGCCACACGCCGGTGGGCGTGGCAGACTGTGGGGGAGCCCGTGTTTATTAGTGACCTTCAATAGGCTTTACCTAATGAATAAATTGATGTATTTAAACTTTTACAACTAGCTTAAAACAAACCTTCACCCTGGGAAGACACGGCATGGATATATTACGGTAAACAAAATAATACTTAATATTAATCATTATCTTCATCGTTATTATTGCTGCTGACTTTGGCCTGATGCTGGCCTCCCCCAAGGGATGCCACAAAGCATAATACTAAGGAATGATAAATATAAAAATAATAGAGGAAATCTCTAAAGTCTACTAAAACAGACCGCTACAGTCCGCTAGTTAATATAATGAAGCGACAGTAGTCTATTGGCAGGGTGCGGACACAGACTCGAGAAGTCGTGGGCTCAAATCCGCCATTCGAATACTGTCCTGAACCACTTCTAACACAAACATTCTATGCTTATCAGGAGTGGTTAACGGAATATAAATAATGCTAAAAACACTGCTAGAAATAAAAAAATCTCTAATCAAAGATGGGCAGCATGACGAGCTCCTTCCTGCTCTTTAACCTTGTACAGAACGAGAAACCTGTACATAGTGTGACGTATATTACGCTGATACTTTTGCTTATTTATTTATATTTGTGCTTGTCTCCAGGTGTGGTTCCAGAACCGGCGAGCCAAATGGCGCAAACGTGAGAAAGCACTGGGACGCGAACACGCCCCCTTCTTGCACCACGAGCACGGTAGGTTCCCCTGCATTACTAAATTAAAAGTAAAGTCAACTTCTTTATTCTTTTCTTTTATAACACTGAAATGCTAAACGAACTTATAGTTTACTTGCTGGTGAGTGGCTACCACAATCAATGGTCACCTTCAGCTAACTTTAAACAAAGAAGGCTACGCATGTGTTGTCACCTCTGAATCTGCCTCACAGCCTATATTATACTGGCTCTCTATACACTTCAGGCTGGAACACAGCAGTGCCAGCATTGAGCACACCTAAATAGATCATCTCCAGGACAGAAAAGGAGTCTCAAACAGCTATTACCTACCCCGACGGATTAGCACCTGTAGAAACTACTTATTTATTTTTAGTATATTACCTTCATAATAAGAATCGGATTAAAATTTCCAGAGAAGCTTAATAAACAAGCTTACACAAAAAAATACTTAAAATACTGGCAATGCAATTAACATTACTAATATTCCCTGTAACCACACCTGGTAAGCTTAAAATGCTAGTGTTAGGAGTTGTTCACGACAGTAGTAGGATGATGGATTTAAATCCACGATATTGAGATAGTCTGCCCTACCATTAGGCTATTGTCGCGTATACATTAAATAAACGGCGACTCCGCGGCGCAGTGACTTAGCAATGACTTGTGATACTGAGGGCCGCGAGCTTAAATTCCACACGGAGCAAGTATTTGTATCGTCTACAAAAAATTGTTCCGGGTCTAGATATTTGTCCTTGTGAAATTTATGTATGTAAGCTGCCTCCACGATACAAGAGAAAATCCTAGAGTAACGTTAAAAAATAGAAGACAAAAATAAGAAAAAAAAAATGCCTCTCTATTTATTTATTCCCTCTTTATTAGTGTAGATAATATAAAACGAAGCTCGCTTATTCTATAAATTCGTTTAAAACTTGAACGTAAAGACTAAATAATTTTCTCCAATATTTATCTCTATGTTACAGTAGCTTTTTGCCTTAATCTGAGGAACAAAACTGTTGGTTAGGTTATTCGTTGTATAGGACAAACAACAAAATAATTACAGCGAAATAGTGACTGTACTGGCTTAAAAATAGATATTTATGTATCCATAATTTTATAACAAAAGCGTTACTTACGCTTCATAATTAGTCGTTAATAACGCGTCTCTAACTTGACCGCCTCGGCGTACTGCGATCCGCAACTTATGATTAGGTAGATAAATGATAGTCACATGACAGCCAAATGGCAGCCAAGTATAAATGACACGAAAATACTATTAGTAAGCTCACGACAGTTAAACGTCCGTGATTACATCGAGTCGTATTTCACGAATTACCGGTCATTAGCCGCTCGGGACTCGTTCACCAAGTCACACAGTGGCACATAATAAAATACACCCCGACACCGTATTTATCGGCAATCATGTATCATTTACCGATTGATATCGCGTCACGAAGTTTTCACACCTTATAAATTGACATAAAAAAGCTAATGAATCCAAAACAGCTTTGTCGGTGTCGCCTAAACTTTGTGAACTAATTTCTAAAATTAGCCAGGCTGTTATGATGATGTTTTTGACTGTGGCTTTGATAACCGGCTTAATAAAGCGACATAGTCGCAAAATTTGGTACAATATTCATAAAGTGTAAATTCAGAGTCGTCTGAATCGTCTTCATGCATATTATGGAATAAGCAAACAGATGATATTGGAGCGGGAAAAATGGGCAAGAAATGCACAAGAGTGGGAATGATTTCGAGAGTATGTAAATTCGTGAAAAATTTAAGAATGGACTTCAAACAACTTAAAATACAATTATATTTTTGATAATCATTGATGAGCGTTTCCTATTAAATAGTAAGTGACCAAACCGAGTTCATTCGCCTTAGCAGCAATAAAAATATTCATTGTCATTTCAAGTGATAATTTACCAAGCGCCAGGTGGCGAAGCAAAATATCGTGAATTCATGTTTATGTCTAAAATATTATAATTATTTTGAGCACATCCAACCCGCACTCACACACGCACGCACGCACGCACGCACATACGCACGCACGCTCGCACGCACGCACACACGCACGACGACACTTCTTCACATCTTTCCTATTCCGAATCCCTCTCAGTAATGAGAGAATCCCCTCATAGGACGTACATAAGCATATTATGGGTGTATCTTCAGTAACTGTTGTTTCTTTCCATTTTTTACCGTCTATCAAGAGTTCACTGAACATTGGCTGCCCCCATATATTGTTTCATCAGATCATCAATTTTCATAGTTGCCACGCTTGACGGTCAGGTTGAAAACAGCAGTTTCATAGTTGCCACGCTTGACGGTCAGGTTTAAAACAGCAGTTTCATAGTTGCCACGCTTGACGGTCAGGTTGAAAACAGCAGTTTCGTAGTTGCCACGCTTGACGGTCAGGTTGAAAACAGCAGTTTCGTAGTTGCCACGCTTGACGGTCAGGTTGAAAACAGCAGTTTCATAGTTGCCACGCTTGACGGTCAGTTTGAAAACAGCAGTTTCATGGTTACCACACTTGACGGTCAGGTTGAAAACAGCAGTTTCATAGTTGCCACGCTTGACGGTCAGTTTGAAAACAGCAGTTTCATAGTTGCCACGCTTGACGGTCAGTTTGAAAACAGCAGTTTCATAGTTGCCACGCTTGACGGTTGTTGAAACAGCAGTTTCATAGTTGCCACGCTTGACGGTCAGTTTGAAAACAGCAGTTTCATGGTTACCACACTTGACGGTCAGGTTGAAAACAGCAGTTCCATAGTTGCCACGCTTGACGGTCAGTTTGAAAACAGCAGTTTCATAGTTGCCACGCTTGACGGTCAGTTTGAAAACAGCAGTTTCATAGTTGCCACGCTTGACGGTCAGTTTGAAAACAGCAGTTTCATGGTTACCACACTTGACGGTCAGGTTGAAAACAGCAGTTTCATAGTTGCCACGCTTGACGGTCAGGTTGAAAACAGCAGTTTCATAGTTGCCACGCTTGACGGTCAGGTTGAAAACAGCAGTTTCATAGTTGCCACGCTTGACGGTCAGTTTGAAAACAGCAGTTTCATAGTTGCCACGCTTGACGGTCAGTTTGAAAACAGCAGTTTCATAGTTGCCACGCTTGACGGTCAGTTTGAAAACAGCAGTTTCATAGTTGCCACGCTTGACGGTCAGTTTGAAAACAGCAGTTTCATAGTTGCCACGCTTGACGGTCAGTTTGAAAACAGCAGTTTCATGGTTACCACACTTGACGGTCAGGTTGAAAACAGCAGTTTCATAGTTGCCACGCTTGACGGTCAGTTTGAAAACAGCAGTTTCATGGTTACCACACTTGACGGTCAGGTTGAAAACAGCAGTTTCATAGTTGCCACGCTTGACGGTCAGTTTGAAAACAGCAGTTTCATGGTTACCACGCTTGACGGTCAGTTTGAAAACAGCAGTTTCATAGTTGCCACGCTTGACGGTCAGTTTGAAAACAGCAGTTTCATGGTTGCCACGCTTGACGGTCAGGTTGAAAACAGCAGTTTCATAGTTGCCACGCTTGACTAGTTGAAAACAGCAGTTTCATAGTTGACGGTCAGTTTGAAAACAGCAGTTTCATAGTTGCTACGCTTGACGGTCAGGTTGAAAACAGCAGTTTTTATTATTTTGAGATGTAATTAGGATGATGCTGCTGCCTATATCCTGTTTTATTTCCTTTTGTCGGCTGTTACTACCTCTACCTCTACGGGACAATGCGAGGTATGGATGTTATTACATAAGCACTGCACGGTCATTGTATTGTCTTTACGTCTCGTCTTCCTTACCTCGCCTTTTTGCGACACAAATTCACAAAATGTCTATAAGTTTTTACGACCGTTAAAGTTTGGATTCCAAAAACAATTGTTGGGAGCAAATTAACAGTTTTTCCTTTAAAGGGAAATACGTTTATAAAGCTGATATTTAATACAAACCTTACAAATTTTGAATATTAAAATTTTCATAACATGTTATTTGTAGGTCATTACGACAAAATACGTTCCGATTAAAATAAAAGATAAAATAGGCATAACCCGAGCTGGCGAGGTGGAGTGGACTGATTGGAAAGGATCGTTGTACAAATGGGGATATAATGACTGTCGATTGAACGCGACGTAATCGAGTCACATGTACTTTTTTATAGAATAAGGGTGACAAACGAGCACACAGTACACCTGATGGTAAGTGGATGCTGAGGCTCAAAGACATCTACATTTATACTCATAATAATCAAAATGCAGATATATTGTCTCCCCTGAGGGCTAAGATGGAATACTTCGTTTCTAGTAAAAAGGTTCCCCGGTTTTCTACACTTACCCTACGAAACGTAACAGTAAGCTGCTATCGCATTTTACGCTGGTATTATTCTGTGAGAGCGTGGTCCTATTCCGGTCGAGCCGACTCATTCCGCTCCAACCATAATACCTGTAGCTGCAGCGTGGCTCTATCACATATAAAATCGTTGTCGCGCTTTAGCTTCGACGGCTCCGTGACTTAGCTATGAGTTACAGCGCTAAGGGCCCCGGGTTCCAATCCCGCACGGAGCAAGTATTTGTATGGCCTACAAGTAATTGTTCCGGATCTGGATGTTTGTCCTTGTGAAATTTATGCTTGTCAATTGCCCCCACGGTACAGGAGAAAATCATAATGTGGGGGTAACGTTTTTAAAAAAGAAATAAAAAAATAAAGCTTCCTACGTAATAAGATTACTCCACTTTTCAAAAAGTAAAGCATTTAATCTGTACGAGTTATGTGATTGTTTATGTTTTTAAAGTTACGTTTGCTTTCATTGCATTGTGAAAATATATTATGGGTATCAATTGCATGCCCGATGTCTTTGTATTAAGATTTTATGTATAACCAATGCTGTACTCAGAAGTAATGTATTCAGAAGAAATCTTCGAAAATTTAAAAATTATATTTAGCTTTGTCATCATTTAGTTCCTGGCATCTTCTTTCCCAAATACAATTATTTTTGTGTAATTGCTATCCGTGCGTATGGTGTATGTGTTATATGTTTACATAGCGGTATTGGGCAAGGGGTTGGCAGTAGGCCAGCAGGTGTGGACCCACAACGAGCACTATTGTCCGCGCTCTAAAGTGTCAATGTCCACACGCACTAGCCCATCACCTGCCGCGTGGCCAAACAAACCACTTAATAAATATTTAATTTCGATACCAGACAAACCAAACAAGGGGCTCGAATACATTTACACGTTTGCATTTTCGATTAAGCGATGATAACGCCTTCATTGCTGTTCCCTACTAATATTATTTTGAAACATAATTTCCTTATGCGCTTTCCAATCTAATGCTTAGTATTGGCTGTCTCGGAAGTGATTCTTTGAGAAGATAATAACAAGTTTGTCTTGTATGAACTACAGTAGCCTAATGGTAGGGTGCGGATCGCAAACTCAAAGGGTTGTGGGTTCAAATCCACCATGGATTGTTGTGAACCAGTCCTAACACAAGCATATTAAGTTTATCAGAAGTGTTTAAAGAGAACATTAATAATGTTAATAATTTTACGAGTTTAAAAAAATAACCTTACCCACAAATTGACACACACCTAGTGGTTGAGTGTAGTCATGATGAGTACATCACAACTCTACTTTTTTACCTGATGACTTTTCGTCCGGCTATATTTTATAAATATAATATCTATGTATGTATAAATTCCGTTTTTTTTCGTATACAGGCAAATATATTTGCCTGTATACGAAAAAAAATAGTCCTTCCTAGATGGGCTCCTCACTAGAGAAAAGCCCGATCACTCGTAAATTGTAGAAAAATCGACTTTATACATACATATATAAGTGGTAGTGCTTCTAAGATTTGTTGATAACGTCAATTCCGCCCGGAATTGGTTTTTCTGTGAAGAATTCTTAGCAACAGGCTTCGTGGAGCTGTTGAATCTGCGTCTCATCTCTCTGGTCGTATCAGATTGCCGTCACTTCGGACTATGAGAGTGAGGATGTGTGTCATAAGGTGCACCTATGCTTGCACACACACTCGTGCACCATCACCCAAATGTGCAGACACCAGGTCTCTGTTGCGACTGGCCGCCGTGAACCAGATTCGATCTGGAGGACATTAAGCAAGGTGGCGTTTGCTTTGTGCAGGTGGCGAGTGGGGAGGGGAGTGGGGCGCGGGGGAGTGGTGGGCGCTGGGGCTGGGCGCGCTGCCGGCGCCGCTGTGGCGCGACGCGCCGCCCGCCGCCGCCTTCCGAGCGCTGCTGCACAGGTATTACCTGACCCTCTTTTTCTCTAATTTTTCTTTACATTTAAAGACTTTTTGTCAACTACTAGACAGACATTAGTACAGCACTAAAACATTGTGCAATAAGTTACGGTCAATTGTCCGTAACATCTTTAGTGAATCGAACGGGTGAGAAGTCTAGTTCTTTGATTTGTAAACGGCAAAATTTAAAAAAAAGTTGAAAACGCTGTGGCGGAGAACAGGGTGGGTTGCCAAAGTTTGATGCCTGTTGATGTGCGATAAAATATGATTTGTGTGTTACACACTCCGTAACTCACTCAAAGAAGGCAGGAGGCTTGTGAACAACTGCATTTCTAATTTGTTGCTGTAACAAGGGTAAAAATGTAACATTGACATTATATTATTTTCTATGTTTCATCTGTCCAAATGTCGCTATTAAATAGAAATAGAAACTTTTTATTCAATATAGATTAGATACTTATTGAAAGTCATTTTTATGTTTATTTCACCACTGGGTCGGAAAATATCTATGTCCTGGGATCAAACAGCAAGATACCCGGCGGGACTTTTTTGAAAATAAATCAGATTACATCAATATTCTTTTTAATATTATAATATTAAGAAATTTACTCCACAGAGTCGGTAATTCATTCTTGGGGCAATGTTTACGGCATTACAACAAAGTCCCAGAACATATACAAGGTCTCTCTATTACCAAGTTTAAATATTTAATTAAACAAAAACCGTATAAAAAGGGTTATTATAATATACTCGTAAATGAATGCATGGTTGGATAATAACCCATTGGAATGAGGTGGTCGCTCCCAAGCTGTTTCTAAAATTAATTTTGTAAATATTTTGTAGCCATTGACACTGTAATATTTATTTTTTTTAAAGTCCCGCTGGGTTTCTTGCGGGTTCTTCCCAGGACAGAGGTTTTTTTGAACTAGTGGTAAAGTAAACAATTGACTTTCAATAAGAATTACTTGTAATCTATATTGAATAAAACATTATTATATTCTATTCTATAACCCCTTTGATACAAACTCCGCTTAATAAAGTTTTTGAATTTTGAGGTTAAATTTTGTATATTTTCTGGGATTTTAATTTGAGAGTATATGCTTGGACTATAAGATTTTTTTATAGGACGGGATAACAAACGAGCACACGGTCCATCTGATGGTAAGTGGTTGCTGCGGCCCATAGACATCGACATCTATCCTCAATTAGAAATCAAAATGCAGATTCATTGTCACTCGTGAGGACTAAGATGGAATGCCTCGTTTCCAGTAAAAAGGATCTCCGGTTCTTTACACTCATCATACGAAAAACAGCAGCATAAAGCTACTATTTTAGGCTGGTATTCTGTGAGAGCGTGGTCCTTCTCTGGTCAAGTCGAACCATTCGTGCTACAACTATACTACTAATATAACTGCAGCATGGCTCTACCACGTAAAAAAAGGTACAAGAATGTAGACACACTAATTAGAATTTTTTTTAGGTACGTGCTTGCGCTGCCGCCTGCGCCGCCATCACCTCGTCCCCGCTCACCCTCCCCCTCCGCTGCGCGTCCCTCCCCTCCCCGCGAGTCAACCGCAGTACAGCCACCGGCTCTCCCCGCACCCCTCCCGCACCCAGCGCTGGGCCACGCGCCGCACCCAGCGCTGGGCGCGCATCCGGCCGATGCGCTACGGCTCCGCGCCCACGAAGCTCTACTACACGAGCGCTACAGCGGTCGGGTACACACGTAACGCGTCGCCGGTCACGCCCTGGATGCTGTCACATTGGGAACAACTGCCCAGTCTTTATCACTGGCCAAGTTACATCACACGCAAGATGGCTGCTACACATATTTTGATTGTCATCATTTTTAATATATTATAGCGGAGTATGTAATGTTTTACACAATGTAAGGAAGCTATTTACAATTTGGTTTGTTAATGGGACAGTTGGTGGGGAAAAGTGGAAATCTTAAATTTTTCTAGTCCTCTCTTCCCAACAATCGTCTCTTGGATAGACAAATTTCTGATACCTTGCCCGCTGTTACCCCTTAGAGCTGGCATAAGTTAGTTTCGAGATACGTATTTTCAGTTTTTTCAATTAAATAAATCATTCATGTAAAATAATTATTAAAGTAAAGTTATAGCCTATATCATACGTCCCAATGCTTTTTTCGTTTCTTAATGTGTTTTTCCTTCCGTTCTATGTCTTTACATAATTATACATGTCTTCAATTTAATTTATTTCTCAAACATGAAGATTTCAGAATGATGTATTTCTTCACCACCGACAAGTTCATCACCATTTATAACTGCAGGCAGTAGTTTGAATAGTGCCCGCGGTAATTAAACTCGGATTGCTTGTTGATTTGTTTAATTGAAAAACACTAATAAGATCTTAACGAAACATTATTAGATATATCCATAGAGATATTATACTTCTAAGTCAGTGGATATATCAGTTGCCGTCAGTTAAAGATACCGACCCCGTTACCGCATTAAAATATAGTCGGTACTTAAAAATATAAGTTTTTTTTTATATACCCCCATATAACTTATAACTGAACTAATTTTCTATAACATTAGCACGCATTCAATTCGAAAATTATTCCGAGAGAAGTCGATCAATTATTTTTTTCTTTCTTAGGTTTTCTTTAACATGATAAGCTCTTGATAAAGCATATGACTTATTTCCGGTAGTATACAGCTGACAAATTCACGTAAAAGGTGTGCCTTAAAGATCAGTATTGTCCCAATAACTCCAGATCCTCTTGCCTTGCACCAGATCAGTTCTAAATAAAACGAGCAATCCATACTTTTTTAGAACAAGGGTGACTACGAGCACATAGTCCACTGATAGTAAGTGGATGCTGTGGCCCATAGACATCGACATTATAATGCTCGATAAAGAATCAAAATGCAGGTATGTTGTAACCATAGAGGACTAAGATAGAATGCCACGTTTCCAGTAAAAAGGATCACCGGTTCTCTACACTCACCATTCGAAACACGGAAGCGTTAGGCTGTTTTTCTGCGCTGGTATCCTGTGAGAGCGAGGCGCTTTCCTCTTTCCTTCAACTATAACATAGCTAAAGCATGACTCTACCATGTCTAAATATGTTATGGTTTGTTATTACATAAGTGGCGGTTTATGTAAGTAAATATCAGGGGGACTGTAAGTTCATTTGCCTTTGTATAAAAAAACTCATCACAACAGCAGACCATAGGTTATGATATATGATAATATCTTCGTAAAAATTATATTTGTATATTGTTTAATTGCGAAATAATTTTAGTAACGATAAGTCTTAAAAACTTTCATATGTAATAAGTTAAAGAACGAATATTTTTTGTACAAAGTGTTGATTAACTACTTCTGTGTGGATGTTTAATAAATATTAGCACGTAGATTACCTATTATTTAATTACGAGAAGAGTAACACAGATATACTTGGAGGGTATACCGGGACATGTACAGAGCTGTTAGATACTCCAGTTACACAAAACCGTTATACATAACTTTGTGGGACAAAGTACAAGATTCTTTTTTTTAAAGGTTTCCTCCACACGAGGGATTTCCCCTGTATCGTGGGGGAGCAGTTCTTGTGAACTTCATGTAACAATCATATGTAGGTCATACAAATACTTGTTCCGTGTTGGAACTCGCGGCCCTCAGCTCTGCATCTCATTACTAAGCCTTGAAAACGATTCCATATACGATTTGTGTAATATGGAGTGACCAGGGTCGGATCCCAAGCAAATTGTAATTTTTTTGTATTTGTGTATGTGTGACTGTCCCCGTGTCTCGGAAACTGCATTCTAGTCTGTTTCGAAACTGATAGGACGTGTTATCAAGCACTAACTGTGAGAAATGCAGAGAATGGAGATGTTGATAGTTTGTGATTTAATTGCCTACTGCTATAAGAAATTGTCTCTCTATTTTTTTTAAAACTGTGATTCTGTCGCATAACGCCATAAATATGCCTATTCTAATACGAAATTGCCATGGTGGCTAATTTAAGGAGTTGTAAATATGTTATATTGTAAATAGTGTAAATGATACGATGGTACTGAGCTATGGAGGCGGAGTGCTGTCGAGCGCAGCGAGTATTTATTGAGCGAGTAGTCGTAGTGGCTTGCAATATTGTCTTGTAGTCGTAACAATAAACTGAAAGAGGAAGTTGTTCTGTAGTTTTATTCACAACTCTTCTGTCATACTTTTTGATGTCCGTAACAGTACTGCTGCAGCCTTTCAAAAGTCCGCTCCTCAACACAGGCCTCCCCACAGATTGACTCGTGATGGAGACATTTTGCATAGATGCCGCGCTTGGCAATCGGGTTGGCATCCGCAGTTTGTTTTAGTTGTTGTGCGCAGTTCTTAGGAAGACGCTTCTGCCCATCTCCAAGTTTGTTTTCCTATGTCGTCTCCTGCGATAGCCACGGAGCGATATGGGGGAGCTGGATGTTCTTATACCGCCTCTACACAGTACGGAAAAATACTTGTCTCATCTATATTACGGTAAATGGTGATAAAGGTAAAAGTAAAAGATTTCTTTCAGTAAGAATTACTTGAATCTATATTGAATAAAAATTATTCAATTCTATTATATTCTATGATAAGTACCCACTTTTGTTTCATAATATTTTATAAAATATGAGTCGTGTAGTCATAGATCAGCTTTATTAACAATTTACAAGTTTAAAAAAAAGATTAAGGGTGACAAACGAGCACACATTCCCCCTGATGGTAAGTGGATGCTCTGGCTCATAGACATCTACATTTATCATCGACTAAAAATCAAAAAGCAGATGCGTTGTCACCCCTGAGAACTAAGATGGTATGTCTCATCTCCAGTAAAAAAGGGTTTACGGATCTCTACACTCACCATACGAAATACAGCAGTATTAAGCTCCTGTTTTACGCTGATATTCTGTGAGAGCGTGGTCCTGTCCCGGTCGAGCCGACCCATTCGTGCTACAACCATAATAATACTGCAGCGTGACTCTACCACGTATAAAAATAACATGGGACTTTCACTTTATAGAAAGGATTTAAAGCTTGAAAGGTGGAATGACTCTATGATTACAAGCGTTTTATTTGTCTATGTTTGTGAAATTTATATCTGTCAAACAGGAAATGGTATTGGCTACCCATCACCGCCATCCTTCTGAGTCCAGGTCTTCCTGGCCTCTCCCACATTAGCCCCTTACAACAGCCATACGACAAAATTGAGTAAATAATCCTCTTACTCTATCATCATCACATACGTCATACTAAGTTATATTCATTATATGCAGTATATATTTTCATTTAATTCCAGTGATTCAAAGATGAAATCGTAAAATTCTCTCCACACCACTGGAACAAAACACTGCAAATATAAAATAAAAGGGTAAACGGATAAGTCTAGTACAAACTTGTATCGATTGCTCTTAGCACAGCCTATAGTCTCGAACTCTTTGTTTAAGAGTTCTTTGTGCTAACCCTCCTCCCCCCGCCTTCCGGCCCCCTCCGAGGCCCGCTGAGCGTTATGTGCGATCATTGCGGGCACAAGATTAAATTTGCTTCTCCGATCGCCGCACAAAGAACTTGAGTGTTTGAAGAAAGATTAATTTGGTAAAAATTCGGGGCTCCGGCGGTGCGGAGGATGAGGGGTGGCGGTATTAAGCCCCACTCGCCGCATTCAATAGCGCGATATGAGTCGTGTAGTGTGGACGGATGACGATCGAGTCCTGGGGGCACCCAGCGGCTTACATTTTCACAACTTGACACAATCTTTCAAAAATTTTATCCAGCACGATTGACAACTTAATTAATTTTATAATACTCCTTTTGAAATAATCGATTAATATTTTACGTTAGTCCTTAGTGGTGACAACGCAACTAAATTTTCATTTTTAATGAATGATATATATGTAAGGTTTCTAGGGACCACAGTATTTTATTTATTTACGAAATGAGGGTGACAAGCACACAGTCCGTTTGGTGACACAGTCCACCTTATTTGTTACTTCAGTCCGTTGATTCACTTATAACAGATTATCAAGGGTCCCTCTGAACACAGACCTCACCAATAGAGTACTCATAAGGGGCACATTTTCCACAGTTGTCAAGCTGGACAGGTGAGTTAAAGTCCGCAAGTTTTATTTTAATTTTATAATCGTTATTAGGAAGACGCTAAACACCTCCTGGTGGATTTCTGTCGAATTCCTTTCAAAAAAATCAAAAATGTTTATTTCATTAACTTAAGTCTAAATATACAAGTTTTCTATGTTTGGAGATTCCTTTTAAGCTAAATAAATTGCTTGTTCTAGGAAAGTCCGCTCTTCCAAAAACACTTTTACAACATATATTTAGACTACTATTTTTAATGAACTGAGAGACTACATACTAATTATTTACATAAGGCATGCATACAATTTTTCTCTTGTGTGATTGAATAGGATGTGTGTGTGTGTGTGTGTGTGTGTGTGTGTGTGTGTGTGTGTGTGTGTGTGTGTGTGTGTGTGTGTGTGTGTGTGTAAATGTGTGTGTGTGTGTGTGTGTGTGTGTGTGTGTGTGTGTGTGTGTGTGTGTGTGTGTGTGTGTTGTCCTTTGTGACTGTGTGTTTGTTTGTAACCTTTACTTTCATAAAAATATCAAGATCGTGATAGAGCCATGCTGCAGTTATATTAGTAGTATAGTTATAGCACGAATGGGTCGACTCGACCGTGGAAGGACCACGATCTAACAGAATACCGGCGTAAAATAG